GCTACTGAGAAATCTCGATACGTTGCAAGCTTTATTTTGCTCCAGTTTCCCCCCCACAGATCAGCTAACGTCATATCATTTTGTGGATATTACGCTTAACCCAGAGAAATAATAGCCCACAGCGTTCAGTCTGGAAACATTCAAATGGTGACTCAAAATTGGGGACACACAACTCTAGTCATTAAAGGGTGTATAAAGCACCATGGAGAAATCAATACTCCTTTTTCTGTGTTGCTATTTGCAGTCACACTAGATTCTGAATTTAAAGTGAAGCTTCCTGTATTGATACAATTTTTTTCCAGCAAACTGTTGTTGATATCCTTTTTGGTAACAAACTGTCTACTTATGTAAAGAGGTGAAATGTGTAGAAGAAGGGTAGAGCCTATCCACAATGCTGCCAAACTGTCTTATATTATTCATCACAATGAGGCTTAAATAGAAAACACTAAATCTTTTTGTAATGTGATTATTTGATTTCTATTTTCAGCAAGAAAATCTTGTTGACAAGAAATTGATTTTTGTAAAAAACCCAAAAAGAGACATTATTTGTGTTGATGTGTAGAACCAGAATTTGAAAAAAATAGGCCCTCTGTATCCAATAATACATGGAGCTGAATGTCCAAAGAAAATAAAAAGGAAACAATATTATACAGTCTAATGCATAAAAGGAAGGAATAAAACGGGAACAAAAAGGTTAAAAGTAACAATGACAATTTAATTTTTCGATTATTAAAGAAACTATTTTCTATACTCACTAAATCTAAAAAGGGATTGCAGATGGACTGGATCATACCCCAGCTGTCATTAGTTGGGGAGGGGACTTCAAGTGACCAGTCCATCACAGGGACTGGTCACTTGAATCACAGGTCAATCTAGAAACACCTGTCAACCTAACATTTATGTTTTTGGATTCTGAGTGGAAGGCAGACTTGATGAGGGAACTCCATTTGCACAAAAAACCCCATCCATTGTTTGATCAAGGAATCCTCTTGCTCTGACACAATGGGGCTATTTACCACACTGTGCAAACTATAGTTAAAGATATTACATTTAATGCTCTACGCTACTACCTTAGAGTCTAACTCTGGTGATAAATTACATTAAAGGCATGACACAGAAGGATAGAGCTGACCAATTTACACAATTCTGATACCAATGAAAAAATGAAAAACAACAGTTTTATTATGAAATGTCATTCAAACCTTTGGGAGTCTCTATGGTTGGCAACAGTAACACACTGGTAGAAAACCTTTTCACTCTTTGAACAACACCATTCCACAACTTCACCATATAAAACATGTAGAAAAACATAAAAATGCATCAACAGTGAAAGCAGGTCAAGTTAAATGACAATGATCAAATATTGTTATATCTAATATCTAGTTCATTATTATGGCCTCCAAGCAGGCCTGTGCTATAAACATGTTGTTACACATATACATATTTCAATAAGGATTTGCATATTAAGTTTTTCTTCTTATTTTTTTTTTCTATTATCTGTTTCAATAATGACAAATGCTCCATCTTAAACTCACAAAAGAAACTCCCCAAGCTGTGTGAAATGTCACCTCTTTTCATTGGACGTTTTTCTGCCCACATGAATCCAGATAAAGAAAAAAGATAGTAGCTGATTGAGTGGATTGTATTGAAGTTTGGCAAAGGGGAGTGTGTATTTGGAAAGTAGGGTGGCTTCAGAACTGAGTTGAATTGAACTGAACTGAAAAATTACAGCATTGTCCATTCACAGTTACATTTTATTTTGCAGTAGACAACGTGGACAGAAACCCAAAATCAAAGGTTCTGGGGCACAGTTTTGCTCCTTTTCTAGTTATCTGACCAGGAAAAATGCCTTTTTTACTTTTGTTGTTAACTACAATCCCCCTTCATCGGTGTTGCATGATGGTCTGAAGTCTCTGTTTGGCCATATAGTCTTGAAACTACGTCTAGAAGTATCATTCTTGCGGCCATGCCATAACATTTCCTTCCTCATAATCTCACACATCCTATGATGATCAAGGGAAGAAATGGCTTAAACGTCTTTCACCTTTTTTCTCTATTTTGGTACTGCTCTTCATTCTAGCTATTTTACATTCAGCCATCGTTGACGTCATTTATTCCAGGAATTACATTTGTTTTCCAAAGTTCAGTTAGCTGCATCAACAGGTTAAATACTTTTACATTGCACATTAGAACTGATTTTAGATATTGCCAACTGAAAAAGCCCTGCAGCAACACAATATTCAAAGGGGAAGAGAAATAAAATGTTTCAGAACCGTGTGTTTTCACAGTAAAAAGTAAAAGCCCAGCCGAAAATCTCAAGAAGATGCAAAGAAAGACATAGTATGTCCATAGTTTTACAGCGTTCTGTCTACCTCTGGGGCAGTGCCATTCTATTTTCTTCTTTTTATCTTAAGTAAATCTGTGGTATGTTCCTTTACTTTACTTTAGGCTATAGGTTTGTAAGCTTTTGGCTTTTTCCCCATAATGCACATAGATTAGTTGCTTATCTTAATATTGTGTTAAAATTAGCAGAAAGAAATCTAGGATGTGTATGATATATGCTAAATTAATTGAAGTAATTCAGTGATTTGTAAATTATTTTAAACTATTCAGTTGGATTAACTGCACACAAAAATGTAGATTTACTTTTTAAGAAATGTTCATTTTTTTAAGTATGCCAATATTGACTTTTAAAAGTCATGCAAAAATTGGTTTTAATTTCTTTCAAATGCAGAGAAGTGGTTGAAGCCTCTCCTAAAGTTTGAAAAATCACTTTCTTGATGAATCAATTCATTTAATTCCTTTTGAGATAAAAAATAAAATAAAAATTTGGATCCTGTCTAACCTGCTATTAGTCAACTTCACTTTCCTTTCTTCTTTTTACATGATTTATTTTCTATATTTAGGACCTCATAACTGTGGTGTTCTTTTTATGTTTGTTACAGACATTCGTCTAAAGCTTTTATTTAGAAACAACAGAAATACATTTTCTTGTTTTAATCTTACAGGCTGCAATATTTTGCTTCATTTAGTTTGTGCTCAAATTGAATCTACTTGTCTAAAATAATCTAAAAGTTAAAACTTTGGTAGTTAACTTCTATTTTTATTGTTTAAATTAGAATTCTTCTCATTTCAAGTCCTTTTCAAGCTCAGTATAGATATCTTTGATTATGAACCGCACTTTAGTTTGAAACAATCAACTCAGTTGTTCTGTAAAATTACCTTCACAGTATAATCACATATGGTTATTATAAAGAATAACATTAACGTCAAAAATTTTAAACACTGCAGAAAAAAACTGAAAAATCGGTTGTGTTACCTACAGAATAAAAGTTTTTTCCCATTGAGTCCACTAATCCTTTGTGTTTCAGAATTAGCATTATGTTATTCTTAATATTTTCAGGACTTTTTGTGTGTCTGCATCGCCTTTGTGTTTAAAAAAAATTCCATTTAAAAAAGAAAAACATGAAGCAATCTTTTGAATGTTGCAAAGATCACGCAGCACCGTGCCCTTTAAGATGAGAGTAAACGCATTTTACCCATTTTTCGAACGCGATTTACAATGAATTTGCATATTTCGATTTGTTTTAGCTGAAATGAAATATTACATAACTTTGAAACGATTTTTCATCGATTATGTTATCGCAATATTCATTTATTGTTTTTGTTATGTAAAGCATTTACTACTGTTTTTATTAACCCGCTTTTACTTTGATAGCTCTGTTGACCTCTGGGTTACACCAGCATTTAAGTTTCTTTTAGTTAATTGTTGTTGATATTTCAGTACATGGTGTAGATTTCAAGCTTTTGGTCAAGTTCACCACAGCTTTGATACTTTAAACCATTTGACATGATGCGATTGTGTCTTTTCAGGCCACAGATTTGAGGACAACCCCGGGGTCCGGCGCCACCTGGTCAAGAAAAAGTCGTCCAGATGTCAGATGACGCGAGCCAGCAACAGCTCCACGCCCTTATCCAGCCTGAAGAAGAAGAAGAGGGCAGCTGATAAGAAAACTCATGAGGTGTGCATAACCGTGGCTGTTTTCTGTGTTTCAACTGTGTGTGTGACCATTATTCTGAAGGCACATCTGTCTCTGAAATATTTGAAGTGACTAGTTTTTAGATGCATCCATCCCTCTGGTATGCTGTTTCTAGAAGGGTTGACCATCCCAGCTGCCACTTTGTGGGAGGCAGAGCCCTTGTCAGGTTGCAAGTCCATCACATAATGGCTAGTTATTGTCAAAAAGAAAAAAAAGAAGAAAATTCCTGTTCCAGTTGGAGCAAATGTTCAGCATTTAAACAAATCTACCATGTAATCTCACTAAATCTAGTCGGCATGGTGATTATGATTCCCTTTTAGCATGTTACCTGTGTATTAGAGTAACCAAGAGTAACACTGGCAATTACTTCTTGTGTCTTTGGGGATATTTTATCCAAATGTGAGATTATGCAGTTGCTGTATGTTTTAACATACTTATTAGCCAGTTTTTAGCAGTTATCCAACTTTGTTTTACTTAAATCAGAGCATCTGGAATGAAGAATTTACAGAATATCTGCAGACCTGCATGTGCTCAGAAACTGTTTTGGTTGTTGCCGTTTGTCCCTGCAGGCTTACCGTAGTTGTTGTTAGCCGTTTGCAAAATCGTTATTTCCTCTGATGGTTAATTTTTCTGCCTGCTGTACCTATTAACGCTGAAAAAAACAGCTGGGAAAACACAATGAGGCCATTTTGTTCTTGCGGCCTTGTTTTTTTTTTTAGATCTCGCTGCTTGTTCTTGACACATTGTCTGGGCAGAACTTTTTTCTCGCAGGGTGTCTCAGAAATGTTGTGCGATTGGTCAGATGTTTTGTAGGCAGCCAGCAGAGATCCTCATAGTTTTTGTTTGTGCTAAAAATATATTATTTGCAGAACGTGTTGCCAAAAACGACTGGCCAACATCCTGAACTATCCATGAACTACAACACTGAAGTCCTTCTGCTCATTCTTTTAGTATTAAGTGGTCAAACACGCCTGTGTTTACTTGTTTTCCCCATCTCTCGACAATTACGAATCAGAAAGAAATGTTCTTCATCTTCTGTCTTTAAAAAATTGTTCCCCTCTTCTTCCTTTGTCAATTCAAAAGTTGCCCTCTTTGGGTCAGAATCAAGCTAATCACTGTTTAGGGAAACATGACACTTCTGGTTTATGTTATGTGTATATGTATACAGCAGGCAAAATCTAGTCTGATACACATTTCCATTATTTTTGTTTTGCATCACAGTTTGAAAGATCTCAATAAGTAAACATCAAAACTAACCTGAAGATTCTCTGGTGTTTTTTAAGAAACTATGTAGCTTTCAGCCAAGTTAGAAGTCAGCAACTACATTCTTGCCAGGGCAGAACAGGACAGAAAAGCGAAAAGACTTACACCGGACAGGGTACCTGGAGAGAAGTGAACATTTGAGTAAATATAAAGTATCCTCCTTGACATTAAAGGTACAATATGGATAATAATGAAGACACCACTGAGAGAAGATCAGTCTGTTCTACTTCACCATGAAGCAATCAGTGACAGTGACAAAGACGGTTGGAAACAACATTTGGGAAGGTAAAGATTAGTTTAGTGAGGTCAGCAACTAAGAACCCAGCCGCTATAACTTACCTGCTCATCCATGCCACCCTCTAATGCACATAAAAGATATGTCAAGATTTCCCTCTCGGAAACAAGAGTCCTTACACTGCTCAAGTCCGCACAGTTACAGCCATCAAACACAAGCACACAACTTGAGACAAACCATAAGAAAATATCAATCTTCCCCTTTGCATACTGATGCCACTCCTACAACCAAAGAACTGGGTTCATCATTTACAACAGATCAGGCCAGGTATTTAATACGGCGAGAGATAATAATTCTGCTAAGGTTTGAGGACCTTCCTGAAAATCATTGGGCTTGGAAGGAATCCTTTCACATCTCTTCTGTAGAATCTGACATAAAAGGAGGAACTTGATGTACTGTGTTAAAGGCTCAGCCTGACATCATCCAAACAGGTAAAGAGAATATGGGCAGTTTACATCCACGACGCAGCAGCAGGATGTGTGAATGTAGTGTGGTGAAGATTGGAGGTTCCTATGGATTACCTGATGCTATACAAAATGCTCTCCTCAAGAAGGTGAAAGAGTTTCCAAGAATCTCAAATAGAGAGAATTGAAGATTCTCCAAGGTGTTGGGAGACCTTCCTTTGGAGCTTGAAGCTGCAAGGGTGGACAGATTCCTTCCTGGTCCCAATTACTTGGATACCTCTAGTGGCATCACTCCAATTGCTCTGAAGCTGCCATATTACATCTTACCCACATATCAACTGCTTTACTAAGTCTTTTTGTACTCAAGCTAAATTGTTAAACGATCAAAGGTTTGCCCTACTCACAGGTGGAACTTTCAAGATGGTGTCCATAAAAAAAGACAGAGGTCTCAGCCAGCCAAACAGCAACTACAACTGTCCCGGCTTAAATATGTGGTTTAGCTAGATGAACAATGTCCACTCCACGACAAACCACACCCCCTTGTGGAGTGCCATGGGTTTAGGAGTAAATCTTTAGAAGAGGGGGAAAGCTTACCTTAAAGTGAAGACAATTTGCTATAGGTGTCGTGCATTAACCAGCCTCCTAGCTAATGGAGGAGTTAGCTAATTTCCATTAATGCTTTCTTTTTCTGTCTGCTGTACCTATAAGACACACAGGTCTTACAGTAATATGTTGATATTTGTAAACTTCTTGTTTGAATCACCTGTAATAGTATTCTGCTTGATTTCCTGTTTGTGTGTAAAGTTAATAGCATTCCTGATGCTAATACGGTAACCCATCAATTGGATCTTTCGTATTGTGTTAGCATCAAGCTAATTACTGTTTATTATTTCTTATGTAGAAAAAAAAAGACAATTTGGGCTGATTTAATGTGTATATGTATACAGCGTTTATGTAAGCGGTGTTTGTTGAGAAACTATTCAGCTTTCTGCCAAGTTAGAGGTCAACTGCCTCATTCTTACCAGGGCGGAAATCTACAAATTATTGGCAAATCTAAAGGAAAAAATGGTCAGGTTAGTTTATTTGATGTGTGGTGATTGTGTCGTATACTGCACATAGAATATGTTACTCACTTATTTATATGGAATATAATACCATGCAGATTTGAATAAAACTGGGAAATAACTTTGGAAATAACCAAAAAAGTGTTTTGTCCTTCCAAAACACTTGGAAAACGTTATTGACATTTCTCAGCTTTTCCATTATTTGTCCTTTGAGTCTGACGTGAAAAAAACAAAATAAAGGTTTTTTAATGATTTCCTCTGCCTGTATATAAAAAAAAGCTGTTGAGGATGAAGACAGATACCAGTTGAGATAATTATGGTGACTTCGATCATAAACTTGAACATACATCAGTGATAACTTGATTGGTTTATACTTACTTGTGTTTCAGATGGAATAGCAGACAGATGTAGATGAAAAATGACATTTTCTCTTTATTCAATTTCTATTCATACAATTCCAAATCACAATGGATGCCATTGGAGGCACTTAAGAACATTCTGCATTGATGTTGAGGCCCCTGTCATGCTTCGTCTTTAGCTTTTCGTGGAGCTGAATGAGCTGATCGTGGAAAAAGACCATGAGATGCGCTGGAAGGAGCGGGCTCGCTGGATCAAGTTTGAGGAGGATGTGGAGGAGGACACCGACCGCTGGGGCAAACCTCACGTGGCGTCGCTCTCATTTCGCAGCTTGCTGGAGCTTCGCCGAACCATCACACATGGTAAAATGCATCCAGGCAGATCTCTGCTTTAACACTCTTCCACTTTTGGTGTCCAGAAGACACAAAAACTCCCAGACTTTGAGAATTGCGAACAGTTTTTCTATATTATTTCATCCTATTAACTGAACCAAATAGTGTTCTACTTAGTAATACTACATAGGAACTTAGTCATTGAACATTACTCAGTTGTAGCAAGATTTTGTTAATTTTCTTTATTTTTTTGGCTTGTTTTCTATCATGTTCCGTCTTCTAGGGGCCATCCTTTTGGACCTTGAGCAGAACACTCTGCCCGGCATTGCCCATCTGGTCGTGGAGACGTTGATCATTTCTGACCAGATCAAAGCTGAGGACAGACCCAGTGTTCTGCGCGCCCTCCTTCTCAAGCACAGGTCAGTAAGCATGCAAACACCTGCCTGTTCATTTCACAGAAACTATATTTCTGCATGGTTTAAAGACATGCTGCAATACATAGTTGGCCTATGGCATTTCAAAATCAACCCCACACCATTCGTTCTCCAAGGGAGGATGCAGAGTCAAGTTTCTATTTTTCAGTTTTTTGGAACTGTGTACTGACCTTAGGTGTGAGGTATTTATTCATGCATAAATAAAATGACCTTTGATCAGCTTACTGTTGTTTCCATGGAACCATGTTTGCGTGTTGATCCAGAATGTTTCGAATCCAAGAATTTCTCATCATAAATCCCTATCGTTCAGTGGAGAATGTTAACAAGAGATTAACTTTGGTCAAGTGAGCTGGGAATTTCCAAAAAGTGACATTTAAACAAGGCTTGGCTCGTGAAATTGTGTTTTTCCCCTTTACTCCCAGACTGAATTTCAAATGTCAAGAATGGGCTGTAGCTGCACAGACTCTAAAGTTTTATTCCTAATCATGTGAGCCTTAGTTCAGATTGTTGCTTTTTATATTGATTTTTTTGTTTTAAACTTGTTTTTGTTTAAGTCTGACTTATATGCAAGATAGTGGTAAATATAACATTTAACAAGGCAGTGTGTTGAAGCCAGAAAAATGTTCATTCATTAACGTCATTGCCCTGATTGGCATTTACATCGATGTTCCAGCTAAACTGACCGGGCAGATATGGCCAGTGGACAAAGCTGTGTGGGTCATGGACATTTTTTGGTTGTAAAACATCTTAACCTGATGGTTGCTGCCACAATGAATTACAGCAAGAAAGGTGATCTGCATAAAAACTTTTGTCTCCATCGTAATTGCATGCTTTTTATTAAAAAGCTTTATATCTTTTAAAACATGTCCGAACAACTCCAGATTTATTTATTTATTTTTTTCTGGGTGAGATCACACTAACTTTTACACAACGCAGTAAAGCCTTTGAATTGCTTTCTTTCAAACCTAATATTCCCTTCACCCTCACTTTAAGTCCATGCTTTATGTTACCTCTAATTATGGAAGATATGCTAATGGTTTTCCAACATGATAAACTGTATATACCGAACTAAAGGAGAACATATGTTATTTCAGAATCATTAGCTGTTCTTGAATAGGAACCATTTTAACTCAGGCCTATCTACTTCTTTTTTTGGGTCACGCACAACAGTGAAAACAGGAAATATGTCCCCCATTGATGTGAATTTTAAAACAGCCTGACAGTATTATCAAAAATTTAAAGCAGGAAACTGCTTATAAGTAACATTCAGCGCTCAACTGCCAAGGAACATAGGATGGCAAAGGAAGAGCTGCTTTCCACCACATTATTGGGTCATAGAATATCATTCAGTGGATTTGATTAATCCTTCAACATGCAACTGACCTCAGCAGTAGTTATTTCTATTTAAAAGATTATGAGTTTAGCTCACATGAATGCCTCAATGCAGTCTTATTCTAAAGCAAGAAAGGAAGGGAAATTGTTTAGGTCACACTCCTTTTCTAAATAGACTAATTAGATTTGAGCTCTTTCTGGACTGTTTATTAAGTCAACAATACTTATTTGGCAGGTTAATTCTTCAGATTGAATGGATTAATGAAAAAAATGATCAAATGTTTTAATCTATATGATCTTTAAAGTAAAAAGTTCTCCTCTGATCATGACCCTCATTTGATAAACAAAATAAATCATGCCTGAGCCATAGCTCTGTTTGTCATAGACCAAAGAAACACACCAATTTATGAGGTCTAATTCATTTGTGACAGGATTTTGGCTTAATTCCCTGATCAATGGGTGGTGGATTCTGCAAACCTGCTCACGGAGCCACACAGCAGATGCACACATCTTTCACATTTAGCAAGTGTGCGTGCATTCCATCTTTTTCTGCCTTTCTCAGCATGTCACCAACTGTCATTAGAGTCCTCCTCAGCCGGAGAGATCAGATTTACGATGCGGAATGAAACACATTAGGCTGCTGCTAAAACTTAGCTCATCTCTTATTCAGACCACTTTAAGGATCCCTTTGAGCCAACTTGAGCACAATTCAGTTCACCTCACTCCTTTGTCTCGGGGCTCTGTCGCTTCCAATTTGAGGCCCAATCCTACAGGGTTATGTGGACCTCACGAGTAAGGTGATGTCACCACTGGACTTTACACTGATGTAATGAAACTGCTAGCTAAATACAAACCAAATAATTCTCCTCATGTGGGAATGAAATACGCTCACAAGCACCAAAGGACAGAACATTAATCTACACAGAAAAGCCCTGGTCCTTTTGTAACTGTCATCTATTGAATGTATTTCAAGTATTTTAGTGAAACAATAAAGTGTTCTTTGATTGTTTTTGACCATTTACCGATTCCACCCTGAGTGCTAGAGCAGTGTGTTGAGATCAAGGCTTCGGCAGGAATTCATATTTCATGTTGTGATCAAATTACATTTTCTTCCAGAGGCTTACTTTTGTTAACCCTGCAATGCCAAATGTATCATATTTGATACATACGGTTTCTGAAATGTTTTGCGTCTGACACCTTTTGCATCATTTAATGGTAAAAACTTTGCTCAAAATCCTATTGTTCACAGTCAGATATACCTGATAACAGGGGGAAGAAAACTACACGAAGAATAATCTTGACTGAACGCATAGTAATAAATTATTAATATCAAAAATGTATTTCTGTTTTTTCTTTTTACATATTTTGTTTAAAGGCCAAATAAAGACTTCAAACCAAAAAAAAGTAATTTTCTGTTTTGTTTTATTCTTGGATCTGGCTTTAAAGGGTTAAAGTTAGTTTTAAAAAGTGCACTTCTTTTGAATTGGGACTTAAATTGAACTGGGTTCATTTAAATGAATTTAAAAAAAAACTTGTGCCTGAATTGGATTGGTTCTTTAGGTGCAAACAGATTAACAGAAAATACAAGTCACAACATACGGGCTGTCATTTTGCATGACTGCACATTAAACACATCGTCTTTGTGGTTTTATTCATGCCCCGTTTGGCTGTTCTGACTTTCTTGCGCAGCCATCCGAGCGATATGAAGCACCGCTTTCACCGTCACCAATCGTCTGCGAGTCTCCACGGCAGCTTCAATCACAACCACGTCCAGGACACGAGCCTACCACTGGTGGCCGAAGAGCCTGATGAGCACCACGACAGCAAGGGACCCGTGTATGACCCCAAACAAGATGTCTTTGTCAGCCTTTTTGTAAGATTTCAATTCTTTTTATTACTTTAAGAGTAGAATAGATTTCCTGACTGAACTCGAAAAATATGGGATTGGAGTGATTAAAGGCTGACGTATAGCCGCAATGCTGCATGCAGTGAACAGACTTTGTTATGACAAAGCCAAAGATGATGATGAACTAGTTTTGACAAGAAAGCAGCAGAACAATTTATCTTTTTTGAACGAGCCGGAAAAAAAAGGCGGCACTGAACCGTCTCATTCTAGTTTATGGTTTGCATTAAGATACGCTGGTAAGCAGAGATCAGATATGATAACTGATGTAAGGCCAGTGGATTTCACATTGTTCTTTGAAACATCGTCCATGAGGTCAGAAGTCATGTAGGTTGTTCTTAAATTCAAAGACAGCAGGCCTCCCTGTCACACATGTGTTGAATTATGTTCTCCTTCAGCCAACAAGTGCCTCCAGTTAAAACTTCCCGATGTGTTAACTGTGAAGACTTAATGTTCCCCATGGCGTAAAACATTGGCAAATTTAAACCAGCCCATAAAAGATATCTTCAAACAATAAGAGCCAGTTATGCAGATGAGTAGATTCAAAGAAGCTGCATCGGGACATTAGAATATTACGACTGATACACTCCCACGGTTCCTCATCACCGCTCTCACGCAGTTATGTAGCAACACACTGGTTGAGACACTAAGGAGGGTAATCTCTGCTCACTGTTCTTCCTCCAAGAAATCTCTCCACCCTGTGCCTCCGGAGAGCCATCCAGCTGCAGCCACATCCTTGAAGCTGCTGGCCAAGATCCCCAAAGGCGCAGAAGCTGTCATTGTTTTAGTCGGTAAGCTTCGGGGACAATGGGGATCAGCTAGAGGGATCATGTGTTTTCTTTACTTTTTTGGCCTTTGTAAACCACAAAAGAGAGCATTCTTTGTAAATTCTCATGTATACAATTTTCAAATGATCCAATTTTATGATAAGAACTTCGTAATCATTTGCTGACTGAGTCTTTTTTTTTTTTGTACTCAAGGATGTGTTGAATTTCTGGAGCAGCCCGCTATGGCCTTTGTCCGGTTGAGTGAGGCAACCCTCCTTGAGTCTGTGCTGGAGATCCCCGTCCCTGTTAGATTCCTCTTCGTCCTGCTCGGCCCCAGCCAGTCCAACGTGGACTACCATGAGATCGGACGCTCCTTTGCAACTCTCATGTCCGACAAGGTAGATACTATAAATTATGCAGTAACTCACTAAAAAGCAGCCTGACAGATTGTTGAAAATGAATACTTTCGCACAGGCCACAAATTAGGATTCAAGTATTCAAGATCTGAACAATGTTGGTGTTGACTTGCTAATATTTACCTCCGTCTCACTGGAATGGTTTTTCTGTTTTAACTTCAGAACTTCCATGAGGTAGCCTATTTTGCGGACGACAGGCAAGACCTTCTGAATGGCATCAATGAGTTTTTGGACTGTAGCATAGTGATCCCACCCTCCGACATCGAGGGCAAAGACCTCCTGAAGACGGTCGCTGACTTCCAGAAGCAGTTGTTGCGCAAAAGAAAAGAGAGAGAATTCAAGAGGCACCAATCCATGTATGCCGGTGCAGAGCTGGACAATAAAGGTACTCACTGAAATAAAAAGAATTCAAACTAAAAAATAAAAAAATGGAAAAACAGAAGTTTATAGTAACCAGATGAATACCAATGTAATGACTTTGTCTGAGGAATGGGTCCATCGGCCAATTTAGACGACAGTTTTTACCATTCCTATGAAGGTGTATTTATTTGATGAGTTTGAATTTTATGTTGCATCTATCTATAACTGAGGGTCAACAACAGGAACCAAATACTCAAAGCCTTTGGTCTCAGTAGTTCCCAAAAAGTGAGAGACAGTCAGTCCTAGAAGTCAACATTAGCAGGTAGTTTTGGGCACTAAAACCTCATGAACCTACATTCATGTTCAGCAGTTCATCATGCAAAAGCATGGAGAGGAGGATGTAAAGGAGGTTTACTTTACATAAAGAGGGTTCCTGGCTGGAATCTCAGCTGTTTGTATGTTCCTAATGAGACTACATGGACATTTTTGGGCATTCCACTGTAAACATCCATGGTTATTTGTTTCTTTGTATTAGTCTTAATAAGATGGTGTTATCTACATTGTACCCCTATTTTCACCCTACAGCAGTTTTCATAGGCCTCAGTTCTCCTCAACCTGAGCAATATGAGTTTTTTACAGTTGATTTCCATTTACTTTAGTTTATAGTTGTAATTGCAAGCTTCTGGGTGGGTTTTTTTTTTTAGACTAAATCGTTTGGGGGGCTTGCTAGAAAGCTTTCCAAAAGGCAGCATACCTATAGTTTCTGTCGGTCAATTAAAAATGCGATGTTTATTAGAATAACCTTTTGTGGAGGCAATGTTTCTATGAGGTCAGTTTTGTCTCTATGGTTGTCCAAAGTGCATTTCTGTTCCCCATACGCTTGTCTTGTTTGGACCAATCACTTTACAGTCATGCTAGTTGATTTTCCATCCATCTATCGTACATAACGCTTTTTCCTAGTTGGGTCATTGGGGGGCAGGAGCACATCCTGGTTGTCATTGGGCGAGAGGCGGATCACAGTCCATGACAGGGCCACACAGAGATTAACTGGGACAAACACTCACATTCATTCCTTGGGGCAGTTTAGAATAAACTCCACACAGAAAAGCCCCCCGATTTGAACTGGGAACCCTCTTCCTGTGAGGCAAAGGTGTAAACCACAACACAACTGGATTTTTTACATTTTTATAATTATTTTTGGGGATAAGATTATTTTTTGTCTCCTGTTGTAATACAGTCTAAAATACCCCCCTCCCCAGATATTATTCCAGAGGAAGAGGAGGAGGGAGACCAGGAGGTGGACCCATTAAAGCGCTCAGGAATCCCATTCGGAGGTCTGATCCACGATATCCGCCGGCGTTATCCACAATATGTCAGTGATCTGAAAGACGCCCTGGACATGCAGTGCGTTGCTGCTGTAATTTTCATCTATTTTGCAGCACTGTCACCTACAATTACCTTTGGAGGGCTTTTGGGTAAGACGAATCTTCCCAAACTGTATTCTATGACATTGAGGCATTTTGAATCTATAATGAAACTTTAACTTTTTCATACAGGAGAGAAAACAGAGGGCATGATGGGAGTGACTGAACTCATTGTGTCAACTGCAACTCTTGGAGTCATATTCTCTCTGCTTGGTGGACAGCCCCTCCTCATCATTGGTTTCTCAGGGCCGTTGCTGGTGTTCGAAGAAGCCTTCTACAAGGTTTTTAAACCGAATAAGTACACTGAAGCCGTTCAGTCACAGTAGCAGTAGCAGTTAAGGGACCTAACACCTCTTTTTCTTTCAGTTCTGCCAGGCGTACGACTTTGAGTACCTGACCGGTCGGGTGTGGATCGGTTTCTGGCTCATCTTCATCGTCTTGGTGATGGTGGCAGCAGAAGGCAGCTTTCTCGTCCGCTACATTTCACCTTTCACACAAGAGATTTTCGCTTTCCTTATTTCTCTCATTTTCATATATGAAACTTTCTCTAAGCTCATCAAGGTAAACAATTGATACAAGACACACCAGACTATTGAATTAGCTACAATCCTTAGCTTTCACAAACAATCAAGAAGTCAATCCGATGTAACGCATTCTCCTTTCCAGGTTTTTAAGGAACATCCGCTGATGGCTATGTACCCCACTGACTCCACAACACCTGACGGTTTACCAAATTTCGATGCTCCTGTCTTTAACCAGCCTAACACTGCTCTGTTGTCTCTGGTGCTCATGATGGGCACTTTCTTTGTCGCATTCTTCCTCAGGAAATTCCGAAACAGCCGTTTTTTAGGTGGAAAGGTAAGCCCTAAAAAAGGTGGCACTGTCATTTTAGCACTGACGACATGAATCTTTTCCTTGCAACAGCTTCCCTGTGCAATCCACATGTCACAGTGTCTTTATGGAAGACTTTGACCTCGTTTTGTATCTGATGGTAGCCCCCTGTGTGTGTGCACTGTTTAATAAGAAACACTTGCAAACATAAAATGTAAAAAGCACCAAGTAAGTGTGTGGCAATTTATAGATGTTTGATGTTTGGCTTTGAATTCTTGAGGAAAAGTATAAGAAAGATGTCCAACTTTCTTAAGGCAGACAGTGATTGCATTAAAACCAAGAGGCTTCCTCTATGGAACATAGAATATGAATGAATAACTTATTTGACATCTTTTAAGATCACATTTGAAGCTAATTGGGCTTAATGATGAAACTGATTTGTTTAATTTATATATCTATCTACCAATACTAAAGATACTGGGGTTAGAAAGATATAACAAAGCAATTTTATTTAGATGTGATTAATGTAAAATTTGAGTTAAAATAAGCCTTTTTTTTCTTCATGGGAAGACATTTACTGTGTATCTAATGACTTTATTATTTTTCTTTTGTTTCAATATTCTTAGGCAAGAAGAATTATTGGGGACTTTGGTATCCCCATCTCTATCTTAGTTTCGGTGTTATTGGATTACTCCATTACTGACACTTACACCCAGGTAACTTGACGTTCATTAACTTCAGGCAATAATTAAGTTGTATTTTTCATCAACAGTTTAGAATCTAAATGTGACTCTATTTCGTCCTAGAAACTCAACGTGCCATCGGGTTTTTCCGTCACATCTCCTGACAAGAGAAGCTGGTTAATCAGCCCATTTGGTGACAAGCAGCCATTTCCAACCTGGATGATGGGAGCATCTGTGGTCCCTGCCCTTCTTGTCTTCATTCTTATTTTCATGGAAACTCAAATTACTTCGTGCGTACCACATGATTATTTATATGTACATAAAAAATGGTATGAGATGTGTTCCATGACTCTTTGTTCTTCTTCTTTCTTCTCAGATTGATAGTCAGTAAGAAGGAACGCCGTCTTATGAAAGGTTCTGGCTTCCATTTGGATCTCCTGCTCATTGTCGTCCTCGGTGCCATATGTCCGCTTTTCGGCCTGCCGTGGCTCACTGCAGCCACCGTGCGCTCGGTCACTCACGTCAATGCCCTCACGGTCATGAGCAAAGCCACGGCTCCTGGGGAGAAGCCCATGATCCAGGAGGTGAAAGAACAGAGGCTGACGGGGCTCCTTGTGTCTGTGCTTGTCGGTAAGAGCAAAGACACAGTTCGTATTTACCACACCTGGATTTAGCTTTTTGTGGATATTTCCCAAATATTTGGAAATTAACTCATTGACTGCCAGCCAGAGTCCCATACTGCTAGAGTTTTCTTAGCATTTTGACTGATTTTTCAAGAGCCAGAGAATAGTTTGTGCTATGACTATGTAAACACCGAACACACCAAAAGAAAGAGTAGACTCTCGTCTTTCATCAGGAAACAAAAATTGTTTTTACCTTATTCCGTTCTTCCTCGACTTGCGTCTCACTGGCGACATGTTCTCTCATAGCGAACCGTTACCTTTTTCTTATTTGCCTACAGTCTATGCTCATCTCCCATCAAAAGTGGCACTGCCCCCTAGAGGGTCAATTTGTTACTACATACTCTGTCTAGAAGCCCATATTTACGGACAAGCTTTAGCAGATCGTCCCCCAAGCCACTCTCGTTGAAAAACATAAAAGATGTCTATAGACTTCTTTGGTAGTCAACGGTTGTATTTGAATTGACGTCTATAGACGTCTTTGGCAGCCAATTAGTTAATTGGTTTATTTCAAACCAATATATTGTGAAATCTTGACCACAAAGAACTGATCCTGTAGAGAGTTTCCACATTTTGTATAAGTTTGATGAATCTGATCAATACATCAGGAATAAAACCGTAAAGGGGGGAATCTCAACCACTCTCCAATTCAAAAGCAATTATGCTGTTTTGTTATCGGAGCTGCAGACGACATATTTATGACCGCATAAATTACCGTGGTGGAATTTCAAAGCGAGTGAACATGAAATGGATTGAACAGATCGGCAACTCTGTAACTCCGGCATGTCTAGACAATCAGCAGGTATGAGTCAGCTCAGAACCATTGCTCTGCTGACAAATTAAACAGAAGCACGAAAAGTCTGTTTTTATATTCCAAACATGCAATGTTTGTAACATTTTACCCTACGCATATGGACGATAATCATGTTCCAAACGAAAAAAATCGCGCCTCAGACAGTTGTATCCTTCTCTGCCCTCAGGGATGTCCATAGTGATGACTAACGTGCTGCGCCTCATCCCTCTGGCTGTTCTCTTTGGCATCTTCTTGTACATGGGGGTCACCTCCCTAACCGGCATCCAGCTGTATGAACGCATCACACTCATGGTCACTCCAGCCAAGCACCATCCCGACCACATCTATGTCACCAAGGTAACGCACGCAATAACTTCGTTCACATGCCTTCCTCCCCATTGTAGGTACTCGGATGCAGTAATAAAATCCAGCCGTGTGGCAGCCGAAGCCAAAAACAATGCTTTTTTTTTTCTCTTTTCTGTCATTGAGAACTCAGTTTGGAAATGACAGAGCAGCTGAGAAGCTGAAGAGTCTGAATCATGAGTGTCCCTGTGATCTGAGTAATGGCAAAGTCCTATTAGAAACATGTGCACCAGCGTTCTGGTTTTGAGTTACGTTTTTTTGGCTTTGTTTTGGCAAAGTAACTTCATTATTCATCACCTATTAGTGGTGCTGATGCCTGGACCCCAGACCAAGTGATGTCAACTCAGCGTAAACAAGACTTTCTCTCTGGCCACCTGGTCACTACCATATTCATCAATCAATGTGTTATGACATTTATACAGCACTTTTTAAATTTATTTTTGAAATTCTTTTGCCTGACTGACCTGTATGATTTTAGAAACAACTGTTTAATTTAGGAATACAGCTAAGGACTCACCATTGTCCCTGAATAAACTTCCACTGTTTTTCTTCTGTGGATTTACCTTCTTAGCCTCAACTGCCAAATCCATAACTATGTTTTTAACTGGATAGCATAAATCCTTCTTTAATGTAGAACACCATCAGAGTAAGTCAGATCAATTGGCTCGTTGCAGTTACAAGAGCAGACTTGGTTATGGTACAATATTTATCCTACTCTATGACAAAGGGTGTATTTTGTGTCAATCTGAAAACCTTCCAGATATGTTAAATGATCTCTGTTTAGTCATATAGAGCCATGGTGACAAAACAAAGCAGTGGAGCTAAACTTAATTTACAAAAAAATTTAACTTATGCAACTTGCAACTTATGCAATGTGTCAGATCTTTTAAATGTTGTAGTAAAACTTTTTTTCAAAGTGATTTATGTAATATTTGGTCCTGGAAATTTTCCTTTAAAGGAAAAATTAGACTGGATCCTGAACAAAAGGGTTCCTTCTAATCTAAATGCAAATTAGGACAACCTATATGTTCTTATAACAAACTTCCAAAATTAAAACTCGCATAAGTTGGAGAATCATCTAATTATTTACAAAAATGGTACTTTTTATTGCTTACTCCTTGGTTAAAAAATGTATCCCCTCTCACTATTGAACACCAGATTTAAAGCCTCCCACTAGATGGAGCTCTAACCATGTATGATTTCTTTTTGGAGGATAGAGGTTTGGGAATGGACTGTTACGTCCCTGAATACATCCTTGAGTATCTCTGTGTGATTTTATTTTGGCATTTGCTTTATTGATTTCCAACCAACGCTCTGTGTGTTCCCTTCAGGTGAAAACATGGCGTATGAACATGTTCACCATCATCCAGCTGGCTTGCATCGTGGCTCTGTGGGTCGTGAAGTCTACCGTGGCCTCCCTGGCATTCCCTTTCATCCTCATCATGACGGTGCCACTACGCCGTCTCATCCTCTCCAGGATCTTTGAGGAACGCGAGCTCCAGGCGGTAGGTTCGGGTAGCAGGGGCATTCCAGGAATCTTTCAAACCACGCCACAAACATCTTGTTCCACATGGCCCCGGGATAGTCATTTGACCACAAATCCAACATTCAGTGGATGGTTGATATGTTTTTAACTCCAAAGCCATTTAAAGAAAGGCCGCAAATGAACTTTAGTCAAAACATTCCCGATGATTTTCTGCTCCGTGATAATAGTCGGCTTTCTTCTCCAGATTAACTTTTTCAACTTAAGTGTAAATATTTCTTTTTGCACTGTGTTCTAACCAGAAAAAGAGACACAGATTTTCCTGAAGCCGGGTATCATGTTTTCTTGGATCAATCTCTTAATCCCCTTTATGTCAGCACTGTCAGATTAAAGGCTTCCATTTCCATAATGTAAGCTTTTTGAGAGCTTGAACAAACAGCTTTGTTCAGAACTTAACCACAATTTGTGTTGCGATCATCCAAAGGTCTCACGAACCTTTGAAATTGCTGAATTGTCCCAAAATCATCATAGAACAGAGCCAAAACTGAAACTTTGGAAACATTTTTGTTTGTTGCTTTCTCGAGAAGTTTTCTCTCACGAAATTTTTGCAAGGACGTGATCAAAAGGGAATCTTTTTGGCCAAGCCTTAACGTGGCCAAGACTAAGCAAGTCGCATCAGTCAACATCTCACATTTACAGCCATGGGCAGGTTTTCGGTGTGACGACAGTAGTGTGGCAAAAGAGGTTCATCCCAATCCAATGAAAGCAAAAGTTAAGCAAAACATGAAAGCATTTCTTTTAGAGAAAGAAAAGCAGAGACTAGTATTAATGATTTGCCGTTCCTGGTGGAAAAGATGTAGTTGTCCTTCACTTTAACCCCTCATACACAGAATTAGGGTGGTGTACGGCCCTTAACCAGCCTCAGATGGTTTGTGGACACCCTATGATTGGTGGGATCTTCTGTCTCAGACCCAAATAAACATCTGTGTCTTTCAAATTGCAAGAGTAAATCATTAAAAAGTGATATTTGTGTAGATAGAGTATACAAATTCAACCATTTTCAAAGAAGTGAAACAAAAAACAAAGTAAAAAGTATTTGACTAACTACAAACCCTTTTCCACCTCATGTTTTAGTACACTGAGGGCTAAGCCAATGCCCTCGTTTTGGAGTTATGGGCAGTAACATTATTCAAAACAGGAAATGATACTGCTATAAACTGTGGTAGATGACATAAACACAGTCTGATTTTAAGATCAGTCAAATGACTAAACAGCTTGATTGCTCATTATCTCGGTGTAATGATTATGTCCACTTTAGTGTGAGTGAATAGTGCAAATATCAGCACATTTTTCCATTGTAATAAGATGTGGAACCGATGTTTCCTGTGAAGTTACTCTTTTATTGCATGTTTGTTTTGTTTTTTCTATTGTGATTTACACGTGAGCTTCCTTATTTTAAAATATGTCATTTATCTTTCCTACAGCTGGACTGCGATGAAGATTCTCCCAACTTCGATGAGGATGGGCGGGACGAATACAACGAGATCCACATGCTAGTGTAAATTTTTAGCGAACCTTGGCGATCAGGACTCCATTTGTGAAAGCACACAAGCCCGTTTGGAAAACTCTGTTTCTGGATTGGTTTACGAGGGCACGAGAAGCAACTCGAACGGTGGTCGAAAAAACACAACAAAAGCTATCACTGGACGAGCAGTTCTTACCTTTGTTTATTCCAGTGTTCTGAATCATTACAATGGTAATGATGGTGTTAAATTCCCAGAAGATGTAAGCCAGAAAATAGCTCAAAGAGCATACCTGAAGAGGACAATACCGATCTCACAGAACATGAAGCGTGTAACATGAACACTTTTTACCCTTAAAACCCTTTTTATTTACTCCACGCGTTCTGGGCATGAGTGCAATGATGAAGGTGTGTTCTAGAACAACAGCAGACTGGGAAGTTTAGGCTTCTTTTGGCTTTAAAATGAAGGAAAAACAGTCACCCGAAAAAGGAAGGATACATTTCTTTTGAATTTTTCAGGAGTATTTTCATCAAGTAGATTTTTTTTAAACGGTTTTGCCCAAAATTCTAAATCCTGAATGAATTCTGACTATAGTTTAGCTGCCTTTTACCTCCTTGCCACTGTCCTACCAGCTGCCTTTAAGTTACGACATGTAAACAAGTAGTCAAAAAAAGATTTGTCCCTTTAGAATAGACTTTGAGAAAATAGCACTTGGACTGGTTAAAAAGTTCCCTTGTATTGCTGTCAGTCGAGCTCAATGGCACAACTCTTCTTTTTTTTTTATGTTGTTACTCCTTGAAGCCAAAATTCCTTAAGACTGGGCAAGCTACTTTAAAGGGTGTTACTGTGATTTTTCAGGTGAATAAAACCTACCAGTCTGGTGATCCCACTATTGTGACCTTTGAGACACAAACATATGTATGTATATATATATATATGTATGTATATATATATGTATATATATTCGTTCTCATCCTACTAACCTTTATTTTTATACTACTGTATCTATTTATTTTGTGAAGTTTTAGAGTTTTTGCCATGCAAGATTCTCAGTGGTGTTATAAATCCAAGTACCTTAAAATGCTATAAGAGTTAGTATCAAATAAAAGAGGAACCGACTATATGTCATTATGTCGTTATACATGTGTTCTTCTACTTTTTCTGTAAGACATCCAATGGGTGGTGTATTTTTCACAGATATCGTAAATACTTTAACACACTTTACTGGAAAGCCATGGAAACTAAACAAACTCACAAAAACTGAAGAGTAGTTGGGCCCTGGTCGAGAGTTAGATTTTTAGTTTAAGGACTCCAAGCTCTAAATCAAGATGTATCATCAGTGCTTAGAGTTGCTTCGAAAGACCTGGAGGTTTTTCATCTTCTGGTGTTTGACTAACAAAAATGTTTTCAGAAGACACTTGAGACGCTAATGATATTTGTCACATCGGAAGCCATCTTAAAGGAGCATTCACTCATTGTGATTGGATATAAAACTGAGACGAGGAAGATTAGAAGGAGTATTTTACTGAAGAGTTTTCCAAAATATGTTTCCATACGTGTTCTTTTTCCATCCTTAATAGTGTTTCAAGCCCAATGGACACAGTTCAGATGTCAGCAGATGGTCAGAAAGACGTAATAATCCTTTGTCCTTTTGACAGTACGTTTGTGTAAGATTTTTGATCACATTCCAGTCGAGTGGAGATGATGCTACTTCAGGCTGTAACCAAGATCCATGTTGAGCTAGAGCTTTGGCAAAGTGTTTACCCTAAATCGGGATTCTCCGAACTACGTTTACTGACATAGAGTTCCTGAACAGATAGGTTCCACTGGTGATAGCATGTGGAAGAATAAGCAATAACAGTGTGTCTGCCAAATAAGTGTTTCTTTATCACCCACAGATCCTGACGTTTTGATCAATTTACGCTAAAAGTTATTCAGAGTTTGCTTGTCTGTGCATATTTAATCAAGAACCCACAATACTTCCATACTTCCATACATACACCCAGGAGGCCAGCATGATGTTGTCTTCTCAGAAAAGCTCTCCTTTCCAGGATCTGACATTCAAGTAGTTGAAAATGTGATCAGATTCTTTGATGGGTCCTGTAGGACGTATACTACATGTGAGCGGTTGGTCCAGAGCTTTCATTGAAATTGAATCAAAATTAAATTTCCGACCATCGCTTGAGTAATTACAGCCAGGCTGCCGCAGCTTTGTTCATAGCCAATATCTGGAGACTGTCACCGATCAGCCTTTTAAATAAAGTAATGTGTCCTGAATGCATCGTATAAGGTATCACATCATCTCCCTTTTCTATAAAATCTGCTGAGTCAGTTCCATAACCGCCAAGATGTCACAACTGGATAAGGCCATCGCACTTATTTATCACCACGTACATCAAAAAGAATGTAAACCAAACTGCAAAGTATTATTAAAACCCTCTGTAATCTTGCACACCTTAAATTTCATAAAATCCTACTTTTAAATTGACTGTAATGTATGTAATCCCACAGCGAAAATGAGAGTATCTCATTTTACTTTACTGCCCCACATTACTGGACTGGGCAGGAATTTTACCTCAGGGGATACTGACCTTTGATCTGTAAATATTACTTCCCAGCCTTTTGGTATATTGACTTTTTTTGTGTACACAGAGCAGTGAAAAAGTGACCAAGCACATGCGACATAAAAATATACGGGCCACAGTCCAGGGTTTTATGTTTTCCAGCGAAGTAAAAAAGGTCAAGCGGAGAAATGATGTGTTTACTGCAGCACGCTGACGTGGAAGTTTAGCCGTAAATGAATCATGCTTTTCCTTCCCTGATTGTTCTCCTAAGGCCTCCCCCTTCAAGCCCCCCCGCTTTGATGTGAAGCAAACACCTGCCGTAGCCTGTGTTCAATTCTCCAGCTCCTATAGTTAACGAGTCACACAATGTGCTTTACATTAGTCCACTGCAGAAAGTCCGTTCAGAGTGGGTTGCCTTATTAATGGGTCCTTTTTTTAACCAAGTGTTTATGTTGCAGGGTTTACAAAGACTGGGATTGCAAATGAAGGGCAAAGACCATGAGATTCATTCTAACAGTGCATGCTTGCACGATGGAGTTCTTTTGGATGACGCTCCTTGTGTTTTCGTAATGTTAATTTATTGAGGGTAATACAAAAAAAGTTATTGGGTACATAGCTAAATCAATCAATGCCCCATTTTGGCGGCCTTTCTTTCGCTGACATTAGTTTAAAAAACACTTAATTTAACCAAAATCGAATAAGAATTCCACTCATGGATATAAAAAATCAAGAAAAAGGTAGTTTCTCAGTGAGCAGCTAACATTCTTTCTTGGGATTTTATCCTCCAATTTTTTATTTATTTTCTGTTCATTCTGACATTAAAGTAATGAAATTGTAAATCATCAAGAATTTCTTTGCATTTTCACATCTTTCTTTGATAAATATCGACAATCTGGCCATAGACAAAGAAATAAGAAAAAGGGAAAATAAACTGTTGTAGAAATAAACTGATTGACTCAGTCACATTCAGCATTTGTGTAATGTGAGAACAAGACCAATACATGAAAACTGTCGACACAAATTTGCTCAAACCCTTTTAATACTGTTTTTCCTGGTTGCACATGAACACAAAACATCATGACATAGACTGGTCACTGCCTGGGTGAGTTTAGGTCCAAACATCGCTTAGTCTGGGGTACAAAAACACTCATAAAATACTCAATAATACTCATTCAGACTTACAGAACAATCTAATGAATGCCCTCTCTTTGTATTACATTTCAACTTCACACTTAGTTTGTCTCACAACCATCAGAGGTTGAATATTTTTCAACATAACTGAAGATCCATTCTGCCCATATGAGCAACATGACGACACATTTCAGGTAGGACTACATTATGCTTTTTGGACCACAATGTTAGCCTTCTTATCTTCTGCCTTCAAAATCTTAAAATGATGTCATCTTTACACTATACAAAACCGTAGATTTGTAAATTATTAAATTCATACTTATAATGAGGCAAAAACTAAACAAAATTCAAGTCTTTTTCTGGTGAAAGTAGCCTGCTCTGAATAGAAGATTTCACACAGCTGACAACTGTCAGGAAATGTTGTGCTTACACAAAAATAACTGTAAATTAACTTCTTAACCCATGTTAGCTGAAATCCTGGTTGACCCTAAATGCTGAGGGGAGTTTGAGGCATTTATCTTCTCTGTCTTACACTTAAACCAACATTCAACTGGCCAAAATGAATCTCAGTAAAAGGTCCATCCTGTATTTACACAGGAAAAACCTACATTTGACCTATTATCAGCCTACTCTTGGTACTTTCTGAGTGTAAGATATTTGAAATGTGCCAGATAAATAGAAAAATGCCCATTAAATCATGTTAGAATTGCAACATTTTGTCCCATCACACTTTGTAGCAGACTACCAAACCAAATCTGAGAACTGACCCTTATTTTTTCAACCTAGTCACATTTTATATCACCAGCCCGGGTAAAAGTTCCAGCTAAACTTAAACATACGGAGGTGTTTTGGCTTCAACTGTCATAGAGCTGTGAATTAAATGTGTGTGAAATAAGATCCAATATGCCAGGGAAGGCTCATCACTCTTATGTTTCCTTCTGTGCAACAAATGATTTCCTTTCAGATGCTACTGTCTTTCTTTTTTTATTCTTTGATTGCAGCAATTTCTGCAACCTAATTCTGATATTCAGTTTTGCATTTTAGTGATCCCTTAATTTTTACAATTCAAATTTTTCATTAATTCTCCTTTGGTGTGAATAATTACTCTTCCTGTCTCAGATTCAAAAGATCTATGAAGTAAAAAGGAGGTAAAAACGTTTTTATTCCAGCGTTTTTGAGAACTGTTTTCAGCCAGAACTGATTTAAAATAACTATTTAACTCACAGAAAGAATGGATTTTTGTAACATAACACTATTTTTTCCCCAAGCACTATTCACAGTAGTAGGTTGAAGCTTTATAAAACTGGTGGTACTAAACAACAAACAGAAAAACAAGTTTTATCAAGATCTAGTGGTTACAAAAGCTGATGTTGTAATTGTAGTTATAGTTTCTATGCAGAAACAGAGAAACAAGGAAATTTGGCTATATATGACCTGCAGATCTTGGGAAAACTGATGTTTTGGTCCTTTTTATTGCAAGATAATCAACGCTACAGTTCTCAGCTTTGCTGTTTGAGGAGAGTGCATGAGTCAAATCACGCTCACTACAACTGCCATTCAGTACTGAATTGAATCAAACAGTTTGGTGGAGGTTTACATTGTTTTATTAGAAAACAGCTCTCCGTGATCGATTCAAATTTAAAGCTTCCTGGTAATAAATGATGGAATGCAACATGTTTGCATTTGACATTTGTATACTGACACTTGGAGTCATGTGAATACTTGAAAAACAGCTCCATCTTCTTAAAACTGTATAGTTATTCACAACTGTCAACATTTTATTTTGTCTGAAATAAACATTTATTAAATGTTGAAAAAGGGTAATTTTTCCCCCCACATCCTAAAAACAAAATGTTAAGTATCCCGTGTGATAATGGATACTTACTTTACTGTTAGAAGTACATGTCAGAGGGATGAGAATGTGGAAGTGGTGAGGAAATCCAGATTAATCTGATGTTTACATTTATAGTGATTTCCCAAAGATACATTCAACTGTACAGAAGAGCGGAATCTAATATTGGAGGACAAAAACTGACACAATGTGGGTGAGTTTGCTTCAATTTCTTTGCAAGCCAATTATGTACATTTGAGACAACTACAAACATTTTCAAACATATAAACACATTGATTCTAATTTGAAAGCTATGTGTTTCATTCATGATATTCATTTTCAACTGATAAGTTCTGTTTAATGAAAACACATTTATTTAACTGAAACAATCTAACATGACGTGATACTGCATATTTATGTTGTATACTACCCCCAGTCCCAGAAAAGTTTGATTTTTTCTACTATGCCAAGAACTTTATCTCTTAATAAGCAGTATGTGACCATTTTTTCTATACAATTGAGATCAACTTTTACAGAGGACAGTGTATCATACTTTGCTATCTGGGTTCAAAGGTCACACATATTGAAATGTGTTTTGCTCTGTGGAATTTGTAGCTCCATTTTGGATGAATAATTCTTTTATAAACTCTAACCAAGGTGAGCCCCAACCAATCTTTTGACTTTTCACTAAACCCTCCTGCATTGATACATGGAACTATACCTGTTGCAGAATTCTTGAGGTACAGTATAATTTGCATATATCTCACATTTTTAAAACTTTAAAGTCTGTTTTGATTTCTCTTCAAACTTTTGTTTGCTTGATTCTCGAGCCAAATTCTGAATTCATTTTTATAAATACAGGGAAATTGGTTGGTGCATTTTTTTAAAAATCTAGTGAAATATATTGAAAGAATTTAACAAGGTTTTCTGGGTTTTACATACGTTATTTTTCAAACAAAGTACCGTTGTATTTGAAAGGTAAAGTACCACACAGTGTGTAGAGCTATGAAATATAGTTCTATTAGGGTGTTTTAGTTATTATTCCTCGATGTTTTGCCCCATATTTTGCCTTAGATCTCGAGTTTAGGCATTCCTTAGATTTTTCTATGTCCTTAAAAAGTGAGTTATCAAAGAGGAGCATTTGCATTTGCTTGTTTTGCATCAGCTAATGTGAGAAAAAGGGTTGGTGACTGTATGGTGCATGGCATAATGGGGTATCAAGTTGACCTGCCTGGCATGAGTAACCTACCAGTAAATAGCTGCAGTAAAGCCAACGTATTCCTGTCCAATAGCAAGTCTGTTGGTTCACATTTCTTCCCATGAAATAGTCCAATAAATCCACGTAGCACACAAGTTCCTCAGTTTAAAAAAGAAAAAAAAATACATGTGTTTTGGATTACTTATGGGAAAATCTTAATCTTTTCACTGGATGCTGAAAGTTCATTCGTACCATGTTCAGAAGGGCCATTCGTACTCAGTAAAAGCCCCCACTACGTTCCCACGTGGTGAGATGAACACAAAGAAGGGGCATGAACAGTGTAGCGATAATAACAGGTGCTATTAACATGACAAGAGTGAAGAACGGGGGATCTTGAACCTCCTCACAGAGTGAAAAGTACCTCCAGTGGACCTTCAGGAAGACCTCGTCTACTAAAAACTTGTAACCGGTACACCACGTCTTGCTGGCACGCTTTTCCACGCACACCTTCAAGTTGTTGTAGATTCTGCAGAAAAAGAACACAAGACATAAGGCAAAATTCTGATGCCAGACAGGATCTCAACTCTACCAGGATTCATCATACAATGATAACATCGAATTGTCAATACCAGTCAAGCTAAATGAACTGCATTAGGAGGTAAATAATTATAAAGAAGAGTTCATTTTATGGAGAAATACATGCAATGAAGTAGTTAATTACCTTATTAAATGGTTTAACCAATGGGTACTGAAAGGGATTTGTATTAAAAGTGGGACATTATTAGATGCTATTTAATCATGTGCGCTTTATCACCATTTTTCGGTGATTTAAAAAAAACAAATACATTATGTAAAGAAGTACATTTTTAGAAAATTACCCAGAATCTTAGAAAGCAAAAATACTTCACATCTTTTTCAAACTGTGTAATAACAAAGTCCAACAATAAGATATTTAACAGGTCTGAAAAACCCCTCTTGGGTTTATGCGCACTGCTATGGATTTTGCAAACCACTGTCAAAATCTGGTTGTTTAGTTCTTCACTTAGAATTCTTCCCCAATTCTCTTTTTGCCTTTTTATTATTAATCAAAAGGCTTTATCCAGAATTAATACTGACCATTCTCATCAGACACAGAAATGTACAGACTATGCACATATATAATTTATGAGATCTTGCTCTTTGGCCATGATTCTTTTTGATTGGAAATTAAAGGCTTTATTTCCATCTACATCATCCTCACTTTTTCTAAATTAAATTTTCTGGAATCACAATACACTGATATAGTGGAGTTGAGTAATTTAAGTCATTAAACCAGACCTCACCCTGAAACTATAAATAGGCAGACCAGATGCCTTGGCCTCAGGGTGGTGAACAGGTAGCAAACTGTTCTGCTTTAATCAGAAATAGTTTACTGGATGGCAGCATAGGAAGGACTTGAGATCCTTGGTTTTGTTCTCAAAGGTTCGTTCAAATAATAACAAAAAAACAACTACATATAAACACTTATATAAGCTGATTTTGAGCAGAACCCCAATGCTAATGCACTCAGATTCAATGGCAGCGTCACCGAGTTGATTTAAACTCATTTGGGAAGAGTTTGTCTTTGCAAATCTAAGGGTTTTACAACAATTACTATTTCAAAGTATTTCCAATCCAAGCCTTTTCTCTCTCAGAGGTCTTCGGTTGAACTTACAAAAGCTCACCTGTGTGAAAAAGCCTCTTGTCAGCAATTCAGCGGTCAAATTGGAGTTTTTTGGATAGAGTATGTTGGTTTTGTGTTGAAAGAGAAGTAGTCATCCACAAGAGCAGCATCCACAAAATCAAGCATGATGATATGAATATTGTGCTTTGGGTTAGGGTTTTCCATTCGGCCGATCAGGCACCCTTCCCAGTAGAAAGAGGCAATATAACAAAAGAGGATACGCTGAAAACCATCAGGCTGTCTACGAGGAAATGTTATGCCAGGGAAACAATGATCCAAGACACACAGGCAGACCAGTAAAAAATGGTCAAGGAAGAAACAATATCAGCAGTATTGAGTGGCTTGGAGTCAAGACCCGAATCCCATTTAGAATCTGAGGGGGTAAGTGGAGACCAGAGTGATGGCAACCAAGACTTCCAAAGTCAAATACTTGTCAAAGAAGTGAACGGGGTCAACATTTGGTAAAAACTCTTGTCAAACTTGTTATTGTTATCTCTTCGATAATTATGATGGGCCAAAAAGGCTTATCAACTCATTACAAAGGGAATGAATGAAAGCTCAATCCAAATTTGAATGTGGTTTGACAGTTTAACTATTTGGTTTCTGCCATTTGTGGTTAAAATAAACGCCAAAAGGAAGGCATGCCTCTTTACAGCTGCAACATCATCCGGTATTATGATAAACTTTTAAAAGACATCGGCCAAAATAATTAGGCCTGAGTGACTCCAAGCATATAAGTAGAGAAATATCCCTCTGATGTCCCATTGGAGCCTGCAATTCACTTTTAAGCGTGCAACTGTTGCATTTTCAGGATGAAGAGGCGACCATAGCCTCAGTAAACCAGCCATAAATCTCACAACCAGTCGTTACTACAAGACTTTAGTGCGGAAAACATCTACTGAGACATAGTTGAGCCGGACAGCTGGAAGTCTGATCAACAAGCCGGGCTACTCGCGATGATAGACACTCCACCCTACATTTGAGCTCTACGGGACCTCGGCCACAAAACATGTAAAAAGTGAAATATAGATCATCACAGCCATGATTAAAATCTAATGCAGTCCACGCTAGGTAGCGTGGCAAAACTTGAGTCTCCACAAACAACTGCTGTCTGGAAATATGAGCCCAGGAGCAACAGTCTGGCACATTTTCATTAAAATATGACTAATTAGCTGAAGCTTTGACCAGGACCAAATGTAGCCAGGAGACAGGAAAGTATCTGACTTTCCCATGACTCAAAGTTATATATCTTTACTAAGAAGGCAATAAAAAAGTGTGTAATGTTCCACTTTATCCAGGCTTCCTGTGTTTTCGCTCACTGGGATATGCAATGCTGAGCTCATGCAACACATGCATACCAAGGGGAGAACATTAAATTTGCAAAAGGATTATAATAGCAACCAAATATTTACCGTCTGACATTAGGCCACGGACACTTTTCTTGATAGCCGCTTGTCTCCATGCTCTTGTTGAAATCTGACAGGCAGTTTTCAACAGCAGAACCAAAGCTGTTCTCGTTGCATGGAGGAACTACAAATTCTGAAGCCATTCCTGGAGAAAACAGCACTGTACAGCATAGAACGGGGTTAGCATTCCTCACCAAAACGTAGGTCAAGTAAAGGCCAATGAAAAAACAAAGACAGGATTAATGCAACCTAACCAAATCAGAAAAGGTTTATTGTGAACATGACAACGTTGTATATTGTTCTCCTAATGTAAACTCATTTCTCAGTAAAGTTTGAATTGTCTATGTAAAATTACCATGAACATTTCACCATTTATTAATGTTAATGAACTGTTATTTTACCTATATTCCCTAAAACGTACCTGTTTAAACACCTTTATTTAAACGTTTGTAATACTGGCTGCAATTAAATCTTCTCCCATTGGATGCAGTGGTGTGTTTATCTGTAGGATTATTGGGGCAATTCTTCTGGACTCATCAAGTAACTACTAATACATCCATGGGACAAGTTACATTCAAGTTACTTCAAAAGATGATGTCACATTATTTCTTCATTACTCTGCTGCATCACAGATTTTGGTAAGGCAAAATTTCTAAGATTTTCAGGATATTTTTCTCATCCATTGTAGGAGCAGCCTTAAGTCAACGTACTTTCCCATTTCACAGAAGTTATCTTGGTGCAAACCACAAATTCAATGGGACTTGTTTACATTAAAGGTGAATGGGAAGGGTTTCCTTTGTAGCATAATAAATGGTTAATATGTAGGTGCGGTTGTATGGTTTGATTATTGATCATTTAAAATGTGTACCCCAAAATTTAGCATTCATTGTAATATGGACTTGCAATTTATTTGTTGTCCCCTCAGATTTATCATCTTCTCATTTCTATATTTAAATACATTGTTTTTATCAATTGCTATGATATTAGGTGAATCGTGATATTTCCTTCCATGTTTAATATAACAAACTGTTATCGTTCTATTTTTTTTGTCTGTTCCTTGGACAACCCCACTGTTTGATTTCTCGTTCTGGGCCTACAGTGACTAGAACGACTGAGTGTTGTGAAAATCTGACTCACCAGTCCAAATGGAGATAAGTGCTGGCAGGAGGAGAGCGGATGCCATCTGTTGAAATAATTACCGAATTAGAAGAAATTCAAATTAGATTGAAACAAAAGTGCTGGTTTAATGGGGAACCTCTCTGGACTGTATGTCCATACCAAACCATGGCATTTTTCATGGTATTTTCCAGTTTGTGAAATACCACAAACTGGGCCGTCCCTCCAGTTTGTGGTATTTCACAGATCCAGGCTAACATCCTGCACTGGAAAATCAGTTTTGTCTACTTCCAACCCCCCCACACTTGTTGTCTCTCAATTTCCCAAACATTTTCGGATGGGATATACATTATTCTGTCCAGAAAAACTATGTTTTTAAGTTGTTATGAAATAACTGATCAAGTTAAGTGTCTTCCTTGGAAGGATTTCCAGCTTTTAGCTCCAGTCACATTCTTTGAAATGAAAAAAAAAAAGTTTTTTTAAGTAAGCATGGGTGATGTCCATCTGCTTCCTGTACATTCCCACAAACTAGCAAATTTATCTCATGGGAGGCACACACTGAGAACAGATGTTACGGAAGAATGTGAGAAGGAGCTATTTAATTTCTTTAGAATTTTAAAATCTGCTCTGATGAATTGCTTGTATGAACCCCCCGAAAAGACTGTCCGTTACATAAGTTTCAAAATTGTTGTGTTGTTGGCAAGTCCAACTAGTTTTAAGAACTCCACAGAGTCACTGCTCAATACAGAACATACATAAGAAATACACATTAGGATTAGAATAAAAACCTGTCACCAAATATAGAATGTAAAAACAACTTATAATAACTACAAACCTCAGCTTTTCTGGTCATTTGTGGTTGTAGTTTTCTTCCTCTTTCAGATCGGTGGTAAAAGTAGAAGTGTTGTTGGAGATGCCTCGGTTACTAAGCCACACGTCAGATGCACAACTGGTCACAACAAAGCCTCTCCGGTGATCTGGTTCACTTTCTTATCTGAGCTAATTGGATTGCGCAACAACGACGGGGCAGTCTGCTTCCTTTCCCAGACCCAGGCTGCACGTTCCCAAAGGCAAGTTTCGCTCACAACCCCCCCGGGAGATATTTGAACTATGGCCCGAGTGTCAAAAAGCCTACACAGTTACATGTGATGTCATTGTTTATGTTTTATGGAGGAGCCTTTTCCCATGCAGAGCCAGAATTCTGAGAGAAATGTGTGTTTTGTGTCTGCAGGGGAGGTAATGTAACTTCACTATAATGTTATGATAGAATAGCCAAACTCATCTTTGAAAAACTAGAAAATTGTCTTATTTGCCATGTTGCAAATCCATTGGTATCCAATGGCAACATTGCGGCAAAAACGTTTCTGTCTGTGTAAACTGGTGAAGAGTTTTAAAAGTGCAAATGGAATGAGGAGAGGAAAATTATCTTGAAAAGTTGGAGAAAATACACCAAAATAATTCAGTTGTATCTGCTTTCTCACTATTATTTCACCACCTCATTATTATTATTTGTAAACTGGGGGTTAATAACTGCTGGAGTTTTGAGGGGGGAATCTTAATCCTTCTTTTTGTGGATTTTTGCTGTCTGATTTTTCTTTTCTCCAACTCCATGATGCACCTCCATCACAAATTCTGGATTTTTTTGGGCTGGCTTTTGCTTTTGCAGAATACAGCCCAGGTCATTTGTAATTATTTCTTCCAAGCAGATTTGTTTTCCAAGCAGATTTGCAAAAGTGACACGCACTCATATGGTCACAGAATAGTGTACCAGTGTCTATTTAACCATATAAATTGACATAGTTTTGCACTTTGTTGTGGTTTCCTAGTCAAAAATTTTGGAAAAGGCCAGACAATAAAGAATGGTACATGCAATGACCTCAGGGGAAAGAATGGAGTGACATGGAAGCAGTCATGTTTAGAAATCATACTTTTAAATGCACAACGTTACATAGTGAAACATCATTTGTTGACTGTGAGCTGTTCAAAGGCTTTTTGTGAGTTATCTTATTCTGATACTGTAGATAGGTAGAGTACAAAATACTTTTAGATGGCGCTATTCAAGGTTCACTGACTTACATTTAAAGACTACTGAAATAACATCATGATCCAGGTTCTATCTATTCTGTTTCTGATCCTCAAAAAGGAAAAAGAAAAGACTTAATCTCAAAAGGTGCACAGAGTGACGTCTGTGATCATAAGACAAACCGATTTAACTTATCTGTTAGTTTCTGTACAAGATTATAAGAATGTTTATACCAAAAAAGTTTGGAGTGTTACAGTATGTAAAAAGCGCATTGCAACTTCAAAAAGTCGTTAGTCTTCCAAACATTTAACCTACATTCTGCTAAGGCAGACCTTTTTCTAATTATCGGTTCATGTTTTTTTCTAAATCAAACCTTTGGAGAACCACTGGGAACTTCAGCTGAATGTTCTGTTGTTGCTGGGGCAGATTCTTACCTGACGTTCTGTTGGTTAAGAAAAATCAATGAGCGGAACGAAGAAATCCGAGAAACAAGACCACCAGACTTAGCCCGTGTGCTGGAAGAAGGGCTCCAACTTTGGCACAGAACTTTCTTTTTTCGAGGCTATTTGCACACAAACGTGGACTTTTTGAAAATGAGGGCAAACTCTGTTGAGGTCTGCAAAGACAGTTATGAGTGATGAGGCTGGAAGCAGCAACTTTGTTCTGGAAAAGTGGATTTTGTTATTTTTTTATTGTGTTTTTTTTTTCTTTTTAAGACCTATTCGCTGTTAGATATTATTCATGCGCAAAAGCAAAAGCTACTCAGCTGTGTTGCTTGAGATGGTTTGTTTTCATACAAAGCGTTGATGTATTAGGAGGAGCAGGCTTAAACTCTCTGAGAGGCCTTCAGGGTTCAGTCATTGTTCTTTTTTTTTCGGTTTTGCAGCTAACGTTACTCATGTAAATCATTGCAAAGGCACACTTGAAGCAGAACAAGAAAGCAAATCCCCTCTTATTAGCTAGAACCATGCGGTAACTGTAGCGCTACGGTGGACAGAGCCAGGTATTGAGAAAGATGGCGGCGGTGCCAGAACGTCCAATTACCTACTGATTAAGGTGACCGCTGGATACTGGATTTCGAGTCGGCCCCACTTCCTCGTGCACAGCCACTGTTTGATAAAGTGGAGCTTGGACAGAGTCCCGCTTCTTGCCTCGGGGCTGTTTTGGTTTTTCTCTGGAGTAATTACACGTTAATCTGCTTCCCAGATCTGCCACTGACCCCGCTTCCCTAAGTAAACGGAGAACACTGCAGAAAATTGTTCACGTATAGGGAGAAAGTTACATAGAATCTTTTTTTAATTTCATGTTCTTTTCCGATTATAAAAACACTTCAAAATCTCACGCTTCCTCTTGGAGTGCCATTGATTCTGGACTTTATTTAGATTCACATAAGTCAAAGCCGAAAATCCACATTTCTGGGTTGTTCTTAAATCGTACTTTTATTTTCTCAACCATATCTCATCAGCTCAATGATTCACTTCTGCATCCATGCAGAAACAGACGCTCTTTTCACTCCTCTTCACATCCTCTGACAGAGAAAAAATGACAGACTGTGGAAAATGTGACCACCTTCCTGTGGTATTCTGTTTGTCCTGGCTAAATGGCTCCAAAAGATGGATCTTTCAGAAGCCCAGTTAAAACATCTCTCAGCGCCGTGCTATCAGGTTGTTCCGCTAAAGTGTAAAATTAAACGTTTCAACATTGTTTCGGCTGCTAGCCGTCCGCTCGGAGTTGCTAGGCGACGCGTACACATAATATCCCAGTGCCTTTGTGAGCTGAGAAACGCTGAGGAGTGGTCATAAGAAAACATTTCCTTTTCCTTTTTCAGAGAGCAGAACTGTGTAAGTGAGCAGGCAAACAGAGAGCACAGCTGGTAGACACACTATGGAAACCGTCATGTGTCAGGAAAAAGACGGTGTACCCCGTATCGTTTTACACCGATGGAATTTACTTTTAAAGGTAGAAACAAAACAACATTAAAAAGTACAGTATTCCATGACTCCCTGTGTGTCCCCCCTCCACTCATTTGATTTGTTTTGCTATAAAATGGACTGAAAGTTAAACAGAAAGAGGGAAAAGATCAGAAATATGAGATGTTCATCCACACTGTAGCAAAAAGAGAAATGTGTCATCAAAGATTTTTTTTAACAGTGTTCTACTCTTACAAACCAAACAAACCTGGTCAAACCAGATGAAACCGAAATCTTTCTTGGATTTGTTTCGTGGTCATAAATGTATTCATATCATGCCAATTGTCACAAAAGATATCTCATGAGGGTACTTTGCAGAGTATAAAGCGGTTCATTACAAGTTTGGAGAAAAAGCAGTGCAGTAATCAATCCATGAAACCAATCCAGCTTAATCCAGATCACACCAACTGAGTCAAGTGTTGTCAAATGGATATAATATTGATTTAAAACGAAAAGGAAACCATTGAAATGCTGCGACTCTCCAATGAGAATGTGTTCAGTGAACCCACCGTGTATGGTTTTCCACGGTGTCTGCATGTAAACACAGGAAAAACTCCACACACAGAAAATGCCTCAGGGATTTTGGCCGGGAACCCTCCTACTGTGAGATGATGATGCCTATCAACACACTACTCTGTCTCCCCGTTTTAAAGAGATGCATTTAGTCATTTTCATGTTCCATTTATTTATTGATTGACTTTGATTTTGTTTCGCACAAATAATAATTTTTAATTTGGATTCATTACTCAAGGGACAAGCAAAGCTTTTGTATTTCCACATGAAGTTCACACACGAGACAGAAAAGACAAAAACATACATTGCATTTATATCTATATATGTGTGTATACATGTGTGTGTGTGTGGTGTGTGTTAGGAGGACTGCATAAGTACAGTTAATGGGTTTTAATGATGAAAATACATGTCAGCAAGTTCTCATTTCTTTGAAGTTTTGAATGAAACGGAAACAGACACAGGACACTACACCATTTGGAATTATTACAGCTACTGTGGGGTGGAGGTCTCAGTTAAATACCTGAATCTCGTGAATCTTTCGTGTTTACTTCCTGACGCCGTGGAAATGGTGGGCTGTGCCCACAAACGCACCAGACTTTTTCCTCTGGCAGGAGTTTTACATCAAAGGATCCCGCGTGCCTTTCCTTGAGCTGTGCCTCTGATTTATCTTTTCTTTTAATTTGGTCTCAGTGGTTTGTTGAGGCCAGTTCCTCTGGACATATCTTTTATTTTCTGTTGAAACTTGTTATTACACTGATGTCAGTCTACAACCGACGTTTTGTCTGTTAGCACAGTTAGGTTTAACAGTGTTGAGCCACAGTCATTAAAAAAAATGTTGATGATCTTTGTGATATAATAATAAAACACAGATACCAGGTATTTACAGATTTTATGAACTATTATGTTAGTTAGTAAGTGAGGAATTTGAATTTTTCATTGTAAATGTAGACAAGCGTCCAAAAGATTTTAACAACATTTTATAAAACGTAATATCCATTTAGCAGTATAAATTGTTAGCTTGAATAACATAACATAAGAAGTTAATTGGTAACATTTGAGTAACATGAATGAGTGTGAGAAGAGCACTACATAGAGGCTAAATCTCTCTCCTGGCCAGCATTGTGTTAAAAACTGAAAAAAACACATAGCAATTTTATAATGGGCTCATGATAACATTCAGAAATGACTGATTTGCCATGGCATCCACGAATACCAATTCAGTCTCTGATGAATTCCAGATTTCTGTGAATTTGTAGGCAAATTATCGATTCTGAAGAGTTGGCAACTGCTATTACTCGTTTTTAGGTCAAAACAGCCAACTTTGTTTAGATTTTGTTCTTTGAGTCTTCATATGAAAGTTTTGGAGGACTCTCAAGATAGGAGTTCTGCTTTTCTTTGGTCAGTGTGGAGTTATTTAACACCATTCTAACTATCCAGCCATCCATTTGTTATTTCAAATGGATATCAAGATTTTGTTTTTAACTGCTGAAATAACTGAGTGGATCCTCTATCAAATACTATGTGTATTTGATTCATATTTGATGAATTTCCCCAATTCATATCTGAAATGCAGGGAAATCTGGGCCTCCACTCTTAAAGGCTCTTTAGCTTTCAGGCATACCACCTGTTGATTTCTTAGACACCAGTTCATCATTTGACTTAGATGCGTTTTTTTTGTGTGAAATCCACTCTTTAAAGAAAACCACACTTAAACACGACATGAAAGTCTGACTTATTGTAAGCTCAATATCATAAAAGAGGGAATTCTCATCATTTTTGTACATATTTGCACATGGGAAGACGGGGGAAACTTAAGTGCTTCTATATATGTAGCAAATAAGTGAGAGGACATCACAGAAAATCAGCAATTGATTAATTTTTCCAGAAAAGATATCCTGTCTGGTGTTTTGATCTTAGTTGGACTTTAAACTTTGATGTATATTCAGCGACCCCTTTTTTATGTTAAATTCACCATACCTGCATGTAATCTATTTAAAAATGTATCAGGGGAAAAAATGAGAGTACCTTTAATGCTGAGGGGCTTTTCATGATTTCACTGATATCTTCCAATGGACCTGAGGGGAAATTGGCTAATCCAGTTCCTGCGTTTCTCTGTTTGAGCAAAAGGCCGTGTTGTTTCTGTGTCAGCCAGTAACATGAGAGCAGATAGGACCCTGTCAGTGGCAGCCCAATGTTTGCTCAAAAAAAAGCTGACAGCGTAGGGAATCCTGATGTCCATGGTGTAATCTTCCAGGACTCCTTTTTTACCTTTTAGCAGTCATAAAATAAACCGAGCAAATGCCAAAATGATCACATTCGTTACCTACGGGCTCGTGTTCGCCAACCTGGCCCTGCCTGGACTTCTCCTGGGGGACTTGGCTTTCCGTTGCCCCAGTTGCTCGGCAGAGCATCTGACCATGTGTCCTAAAGTGGCCGCGGCGTGTCCAGAAATAGTGCGGGAGCCGGGCTGTGGCTGCTGTCCGGTGTGTGCCAGGCAGGAAGGGGAGCTCTGCGGGGTCTACACGCCCAGGTGCTCCACCGGCCTCAGGTGCTACCCCAGCATGGGCCAAGACTTCCCTTTGCACCAGCTCATTCAGGGTCTGGGCCGATGTGGACAGAACGTGGACGTGGATGGCCCCGACAGAGC